TTGGTACTCCAGTTGAGCTTGAATCATGTGCCTGGATTCAAGCATGTGAACCCCAAGCATAGATTCAGAGTGAGGAGCTAACACAAACTTAATTTCTCTTGGTCTAGGTTGTTTAGAGCCTTTCTTGCAGTTAGCAATGGTCGTATTTTCAGCCATCTGTATTCTATGGATAGTTTGTTCCTTATAAAGCTTTAACTGTTAAAAAAAAATTAAAAAATTAGAGCATTTGGAGATGCATTATGTGAAAGCACATCATCCTGCTTTTCATTACTGGTGCAGATGCTAACAATGAACTAGATGCTGATGCTGGGCTGCAGGCTGTGGTTTTGTAAGAGTGAGCTCATCTATGACCCTGATTCTTTCCTTCAGACAGAAATGTTCCAATTCAAAAAGGTACAGAAACATTTCTCAGCTAAAATACTGCTGTGCAAAGTCAGATAGAATAATGACCGTTTTGATTCATGTAACTTAAGGGGGTGGGGAGGGGAACTTTGATTAATCTTTGGCTGGAGGAAAAGGTAAGCGCTTTTTTTGATGTTGTGGCCTTAAGAAAAGAAAAAATACGGTTATAGCTGCAAGGCTTGAACATCCATCTCTCTAAATGAAAATCTGTCTCTGCTTTAGGAGAGGACTGTGTTAATTTGTAATTGATTGCGAAGAGACATTTTATTAGTTTCAGGGTGTTACGGGTTTTGTACGTACATTTTTCTTAATTTTGAGAGAGATGAGAAGTAAGTATTTGTAGGATGTTTAATTCCTAATGACTAACTTTCCTCAAAATAACTCCCCAGCTGAATTCTTGATCTTTCTTGCCACACTGGAGTTGCTTTGGGCATTACTGGGCTTTGGGATCAATAGGAGAGGCTTGAGCTGTTTTGTTTGGATTCCCAATAGAAGATGAGAAATTTCAGGCTTTTCAAAGGAGTAGCCAGAAGTATTACATCCTTTAGGTAACATCACCAAAACCCACCCTACTTTGTCAAAGAAATTCTCAACTACACCTGAAGAGAGCAATGTTTATTCTCAAAAAGGGTGTTAAAAATAGTTTTCCTAAAACATGATACCTCCGCTTGAGGTGGGTGTTCTACAGACAATTTTTGTGCACAACCATGTACTGCATGAGTTGCAGTAGAGTCAGAGGGAAAGACTTGTTGAGAGGTATCTCTTCATGTGTGGAGTATTGAGCTTGGGGGAAAGAGAAGAGCAAATGAGCACAAAAATAGTAAACTGTGGCTTTTCTCATCAGTGAGCATTTACTGTCTTTCAAGAACGCATTTCTTCTGGTGATAGTAAATGGCAATAAAGAGCAACAGAGTGCTACAAATTGGTCCATTGAATAATTGAAAACAGTTGAAAATTACATAATTGATTTAAAGATGCCTCATCAACCTATCTAATCACTCAGGTTCCCTGGGGCTTTATACTGATGGATTGAGTGGGGTTTTTTCAGTATGGTCAGTGCTGCTGTTATCATCTGAGTGTCTGGTGGAGGTTGCTCATCTTTGTAATGTTACTATGTGGCTTTGCTTTTATTATTGCCTTTCTGTTCCATGATATTTTATTTGAACAAATGAGTTAAGAAAAATGTTAATTGCCCTTTGCACCAACTCCCTGGTTAGTTGAAAAGCAACTTGGTGTGTAGAGCTGATGGACCTATGGAGCTACAGAACGATTTCAACCTGATCTTTCTAGATACAGTTACAAATATCTCAAAGCTAGGAATAGGTAACTCATCAGTTGGCATTGTTGTGGGCTCCAGTACTATGTTTTCATTTGTGTTAATGATTTGGAAGAATCATTAGGAAGTCATATCCTTCTGAACACCTACAGACTAGAAATAAAACTAGAAAAGAAACTGCAGTTGCTCTGACCAGTTCCTGACTCATTGCCCAAAGGAAATGAGATGCAATGAAAGATCTTGATTCTTAATAATGTCGAAAAGGATGGCAAGGAGGTAGCTTGCAAAATCAGAGAGCTGGAAATGCAGCAGAGCACTCAGAGAAAGTGCAGAAGTGGTTTTCCCTTGTAAAGACAGGCATTACACTGTTATAAAAGCAAACAGTCCTTTAAGTGGTTTTAGGAACCCTTGTGGGAGGAATATTGCATTAATTTTGATGCATTTTAACTAAGGAAGCAGTGGGGAAATTTAGAGACGTTGAAGTCAAGAATGGTAAAATTGGGGAGCAGAATAAAAGGTGGGGGGAAGGCTAAGTTTAGCTAGGCAAACTGGTATCTGCTGCTCTTACGGTCTGCAAGTTCCTGAAAGATGTAGTACAAGAGGAAGAAGAGAAATGGAGGTTATACAGGCTGCTGTAACCACGAGTAATGGGGCAGGATGGGCCAGGGGGGGCATCTTTCCCGATAAATCTTTAGCAGAAACATTATGCCCAAGAGGAGAGGCAGAAATCATCTTGTTTGGGACCAATAAATTCAGGGACATGCATCTTAATGAACATTTCCTCCTGAGCAGGAGTGGGATGAGCTAATTGTCTTTGGTGCCCTCTGGTTTCCCTGGCTCATATTCACATTTGTTGGACGTAAGTGTCATTACAAGTAATTAGAGTTAGATATGCAGATCAGAGGAAGAAAAGGGCTGTGTCCCCTGTTAGGTAAAGGATTGAAGTAATTAAATTTGCCAATTTAAAGCTACTTTCTTTCCTTGTCCTTAGAAAATACTGACCCTGCAGACTTTTGATGCTGAACTGTTCATTTTAATTTTGCAAGTGGTGTTCTCCTCTGAGAGTTTGATAAACTGCTCTTGAAAATCAGTATTAGACAAGGGAAAGGAAGGAAATGGACTTTGGGAGGGGTAAGTTACATATCTCACTTTCTCTGTTCACCCTGTCTGTGTAAATGGGACATGGTATTATGCATTTCCTTAAAGAGGAGAAGGGAGGGCACCCACCAAAAAAAATATGCACCAATTTTTAGCAGGAGTAAAATATTTGCCTATCTCACAATATGCATCATTGTACCCTGGCAGAGAAAAATGGGGGAAGAAAGATGAGATGTGTGAGTTACTCTTTTTCTAGTATCTTGTAACTAATTGAGAGTTTTGCATATTCCTACATAGAGGAAAACTTTTTCCATGCAGCGCTAGATTTTGTGGCTAATAAGAAGAAATTGCACCCAGGCTTTCATGCAGTACTTGCAATTCAAGTGAGTAACATTGGATGTGTTATTTAAACATTAAGAGGGTAGCTGGAAGGTGCTTAATATTTCTTATTTAATATAATTGGGGAATAAATCACTGGAAATGATGGATGGATACGGAGGAGGCTTTTTATATAAATTCTTTTAATTAGATTGCATCATTGGAGAGATTATGAAGTTGGTGTTGGGGACAGCCGGTACCCCTGATTATAGCTCAGCTAATGCAGAATTAACAAGGGGTGGTGAGCAAAGGTCTCATCCCAGCAGGCAGGACACAGAAGCTGAGCGAGGAGGCACGGCTTCTGCTGCAGGGTTGTGTAGGGGTGACCCACCATGTGCTGCTGGAAATTGCTGTGGTTGTAAGAAACATTGCTTATCCATGTGGTGTTTGGAATTTAAAACCCCAAAAAGTGGCATGAGGAAAATGGAAATCCAGAGATGACAACAGCAGGACTATATATCAAGTGGTTAGCAACAGGCTGTTCATGCCATTGAGTTTAATGTTGTTATACATCTGTTTAAGGCAGAAAGTGAAAATGTGATCTCATTAACGTTTGCTGAATCTTTTAGTGATAAAGTGCTACAGTTTATTATAATAAGGGAAAAATATGATGTAAAAGTCTCCTGGCCTTAAGTTGGAGTTCCAATGTACAAAATCAGTTCAGTTAATTCCGTATTAATTACTTTTTGTCTGAATGATTCCTCTTTGCATCCTCCCTTCCACCCCCATCTGGGAGATGCCTTAACACAGAAGGGCGGTTGCAGAAACTCATTACTTTTTGAGCATCTACAAGAAATACTCAAAGTTGATTGCAACAGATGAGGTTAAAGGGGGATGAGCCTCGCCAGTGATCTACATCCTCCTGCCAGATTTGAATATGGAAGAGCTATCTTCAGAACAAAAAAAGGGGCTAAGTTTTAATTATCATTTAAGACTACAGCCTAAGCACTAGCTATAGCCTAGAGGATTCCCTAGAAATCCCAGCAAACACCAACATTCCTGTAGGTGGTATGTATTTGAAAGCAGCAGAGCAAGATAAATTCTCATATGTTAGGTTAATTTGGAAAAAATTGTGGCAGTGTGGTGTAGCTTTAAATGGTGATGCGTTACAGAGCCAGAAATGGAAGTGTACTGAAATTCCTTGGTGGGATGCTGGGGAAAGAATGTGGTTTTGCTGTGATGGGTGGCTGTGAAGCAATGCTTTTGCAGAGTTCTGGCTAAATAGGCCATGACAACATAGACTAAATGCAATGAAAAATAAGGTACCACACTGTCTTGGGTGCATCTTAGCTGGCGTGTTAGCACCAGCTCATCTGTTACCTCAATGTCATAACTCAACTGAGACAGAGTTGGTAATGATTTGTTTAAATTTGTATTATGAGACAAGAGCTAGTCTGAAATAGAGCTACCTGAAGTACATGTCTGCTCCTCACCCACCAGCTGCTTCATGAAGCATGGAGAGTGCTTTGCAGTGCTGGAGGAGTGTCCTCTGGCCAAACTGGTGTTATGCTTTATGAAGCAGGCTGAAGCTCTTGCTACAGCGTCATCTTCTATTGGTTGTCAGTGGAAATGTCAGATGATGTCTTGTTTTTTTCCACCTGTAAATGTAATAAATTTTCTTCAAGAAGCATCTCCTCCTCCCAACCTCCTTGCTGAGACCTTTGGTAAAAGTAGCTCCATGAAGCTTGTAGCTAGATGGAGAACTGCACTTTCATATTAAAATTGCAAGAATTGCAGAAAATTGCATTTGGATAAAGTAATTCTGAACTTGTTCTGGTTTTATTGAGCTTTTGTATCTTCATTAACTGGTCTTTGTTTTGTATTGTGTTGTTTTCTTTTTATGTAGCTCCCCAGAGGAATTTTGAAATTGCCTTTAAGATGTTTGATCTGAATGGTGACGGTGAGGTGGACATGGAAGAGTTTGAGCAGGCAAGTTGAATGACAGGTTGACTTCTTAATGCTATGGCATCTTAGTCATAAGTGCAGCACTCCTCTACAATATCTTTGTGATTTATTTTTATGGTTAGTGCTGGTTTACATCTTTGCCTTAGTGCCCGCCTTTGTTCTTTTTGTTTTTTTAACTGGATATTTCAAGACAGTTTTTCACTCAACTAGGACAACTTTAAGTATAAACTCTGATTTGCTATGACTTTGTCACCAAGGTATCTTTACAAGATGTTACCTCCAAAGTAGATCAAGAATTTTTTTCACTCTACTGATGTCATAGGATTTTGATCCTGTTTTCTTTCGCAGCTTTTATTGCATTCCTTAATTTTGTTTGTCTTCAGAGAATAACTAGGATCAGTCTGCTTCAAAGAAGAGTTTGGCCACTTATTTCAATGTAATCTAAAAAGCGTTATTAGGGGTTTTTTTCTCCCCCTACTACTTACAAGGTTTCATCAGCAGGGAGTTTGATGGAGGCTTGTTAATGAGCTTAGCCTGCATGTCTCATACTATTGAGGTCCTCCTGTAAGCTGTAGTTTGTGATGGTGTTAGAGTGAGAATAGATTGAAGACTGAAGCTGTCAGTGGAGAAAAGATATGACCTCCTGAGGCAAAAGGTATGGTTTTCTTGCCTATGAAGAAAACAGCCTTAAGGTTTTGGAAACTCATAAACATCCTGAAGTCCCTGAATATTAGTGAAGCTCCCTCTGTGTGCTACTTACAAAAGGAAAAATAAATGCATTTGCAAACAAGGGAATTGGCCAGTTGGATGGAAACTCACCATCTCTGTCACCAAAGAACAAGGTAGAGGAGATACACCGCTAATCTACCTAATATTCATGTGGCCCGTGGCACTTCTGTGATCCCAGAGCTGTATGTTTAATGGGCAAGTGGAAGCTTCTGCTTCTGGGCAAAGGAAATGATACTCTCTGGTTAAAAAAAATAACCTGCCCTTGCCAGGCTTTTTTACACTGGAGGACATCCATATTTGGAGAAGGTGAAAAGCTGTGTGCTGATATCTGAGAACAAAACAGCCATGAATAATCTAGTCACAAATTCTTACTCATGGGTTGATTGAAAGACTGGTTAACTTCAGAAGAGCCCTTAAGAGGGCATGCGTGGAGTGCTTGCTATAAATGGGAAGAACTAGTGGCAAAGCAGGTCCATTAAATTAATTCCCCCTTCTAATCTTTTGCAGTCATCCTCCTTAAATTATTACCTGAGGGTATGATGTCGTTACTGTGAGTTTGCTCCAGAGCTATATAGCTGGTGAACTGTATGTTTTATGTTTTTTTGCAAACTTTGGAGAAGAATGGAGTATGTTTATCTCCAATATGATATCCTTTCACTTGACAGTTTGTAATACAAACCTAGCAGTTCGTTCTTGTTCCTTGAAGTGCAGATTTGAATACACAGCTGTGTCCAGGTTATTGTGCTGTTTGACACTACCTCCCTACAAACTACTGATTTAGCTATAAAAAACTGAGTTTCCTGTTTTCCCAAGTGAAAAAAAAAAAAATACTGTTCTTCTTTGTGCTTGCACAGTGCAGGAATGTAGCACTCCACTGCAGCGATCTGATAATATTTAACTCGAAATGTGTTTTAGAGTAGCTACTAGTGTTCTAGAGTGAAATCAATTATGGAGGTAAATGAATTCAAGAGAAGTGGGGAACTGTTACCCACCTACTAAAAATGTAGTGACACCAAGGTATGAGCGCAGGTGTCATGTTTGGCTTTTTTATTAGCCATTTAAAGTAAGAATGCTTCTTGAGGTGAATGTTTCAGAAGTGCTATGAAGATGAAGGTACAAAATTGGATTAAATTATCTCAAATCATCTGGTAGGCAAAGGGACGTTATCTGTGCATTAAGTCATATAAAAGTCCTTAGAAGTGGAACATATTTTTATTAAGCTCGTTACATGCGTCACTGCCTCTGTATAAGGGAATAAAATTCCTGGGTAGCATCAGAATATTTTGGTGAAGACTGATCTTCCAGAGCTTTTGAGTCAGAGAATGAAGGAGCTGTTTTGGAAAGTGAGAAGCAGCTGACAATACCTTCGCAGATACCACTATAACTGATTTGCTGCACTTCCGAAAGAGAATCAATAG